ATGTCACTACTATCCAAGACGGACCACTTTCTATATATTTTACATTCCGAGTTTATTCATCGGACTTATATCCAGTGTTTGCTCTGACTGTTCCGTTTATTAGGAAGCGTGTTTGCATCAGGCGTACACATTCGATTAAATCAGTAATGAACCTACAATACTGACTTGAATTTTAACTAATACGAACTTCGTCAAGTTTGACAAGGTAACATGTAGGACTCACAACTCAGCAGTTTCGAATTTAGAGTATTAAAAGGTCCGTGCATCCAAACTGCTGGTGACTGCAAACAAAGAGTGCTTCCAAAACGTTACCGCGTGGCCTGTGGCACGGTAGCGTCACTTGGTGAAATCCTGTGCAACCATCTACTCGATATAGGGCCCAAACCCCACACAACCGAAACCCTCGCAGACTGACTGTAACCTACAAATATTCAAACCACAGGTCTGAAGATGTATTGCACGATGATCACCTGAAAACGATGGAACACAGACCAACTAGCCCGGGATAACTGGGTTGAAATGCGTGGGTGACATGTCCAACGAACCAAAAAAATACACATCACTTTTCTGAAATTTGAGTTTTTGAATTCCAGCTTGCACTGCGGTTCTGTTAGCCCTTTTCTTACACTTTAGTCCTACACCCTAAGAATTTCGAACAATTACATAAAAATAATCGGTTGCTGGAATTATCAGAACAAAAGCTGAGTAATAGAGGCGAATCCAAGTTATTGTTCCAATCTGGCGATAAATTTCGAGCCTAGCACCTATTCACTCAAAAGAACTCAAGCCGGGTAAGGTAAAAAGACGATATCTTACAAGTGTGTTCTATTGGACGGGTGTGAATGGATTATATCAACAGTGTGGTGGGTCATTTAGTAATGGATGTGTGAAGATTGAGGCTCTCTTTGTATGCCATATCTAAACGAAAACGTCTTTGTTGGTTGACAAGCTTGATAAGCAGATCCTCAACGGAGAGGTATGAACAAAATTAATAGTTGTGTAACCGCGGCGTAGAGGTTTGAAATCTTGTTTCGGAGGGTCGGGAAAATCGCGAAAGAAATGACAAAGAACAAGCATAGAAATAATCTGAGAAAACACAAAATGGCAAACAAGCTCGTTTTCGATAACATCCTCATCTGGCTAACACAGTTAGATAAATAGGTAATAGGCATATCACATTTCCATAATGTTTGACGTGCGTGTGCGGATTGGATTGGTAGATACAATTACTCGATTTTGTGTGGTTTACAAAACATTTGCGGTAGAGGGTGGATGGAAATAGATGTGCCACCTGAGGGTTAGGACAGAGTCGAGGTTAACCATCACTTATTTGGAGCACAGAGTCAATCGAAAGGGTGAAGGGTTCACGAAGCTGGTCAGTTATGATCAAGTGATTGAATTCACCACGTGGCCATAATAGTTGAAGTGCTTTAACAAATCGCTTTTGGGAACAAAGTGATAGGTTAAACAAACAGATAGCCATTGCCTCAGCTGTTGCTAAATGTTGTTCACGAACAGCCTTAGACGGAAAAGGAGGCACCCGGTAGATCACCTTGAAGGCATCTTCATTCACGGTATGCCCCGTATTTGCGAGATGTTCCACAATGGCACCTGAGATGGTTTTTCTGACCCCAGTACTCAATCAGGCTGACTTGCGTTTTTTGATTCTCTGGGGAAACTGCCTGATGGTTCTACTTACGTAGCTTGCCGAACATGAGCAAACGAATGAGTAGGTAATCATAGAGAAGGTAGAAATAGGCAATTTATTTTTGAGGTTTATGGAAATAATCGGTTGATTGGTGAACTGGAGGCGTAAACAGGCAGCCGGAAATGTGCTTGTGATTGCTCTTTCAACTTTTGAAATACAGTCGAGTGGTGGTGATGTTGCCCGCGGCGTGCCTTAGACTCTATTGTTCGAGGTTCGAACCACGCCGCCGACACCCGACTTTAATGGTGGGCAGCTTTGCTGCCGTCGGGTCCAATGACACCCCTACCTACCAGGGCCTTAAGTGGGTCGTCACTTCAAGTCCCCTAGCTTAAGTTACCGGTTTCCATCACTGAAAAGTAGGTCTTCGCGACTGAAATGTCTGCTATTCCTCACATAAATGTGTGTAATAAAATTAAAGAATTTCTTCTAAACACTGTCATCATTTCGGTAAACTCCGTGGAAAACTATTAATGGCTATCCACTGTCATCTTCCTCCCCACAAGTACATGTACTGAGTTCAAAAACTGAATTTATGGGGTGGATCTCACTAAAAATATTTACACAATCTACGTCATTGTTTTGTATTTATCTGTATAATGCGTTTTCTCGTTTGCCACACCACCCACCTTGTTTGGAGCCTCTCTCTGCGATGACCCAAGTCGATTATCAACGATTACGTAACCCGTTCTTATCTGAACATGAGAAAGAGTGACAAATGCGTCCCTACCCCACCCTATTGCTATAATCATCTGACCTTGACTGTTTGACCCCAACACAACACTTTCCCGTTATTTTCTCACATAAACGTGATTGTACTGGCTTGNNNNATATGTTCGCCTACAACCTGTGTTTTGATTATGACTATGGGTTTATTCTGTGATTTGAAGCCTCCTTTTTGTTCAGTAGTATCAACTTATTGCAACCACAGAAATGTATATCATTCATTAGTCCAAAACAAAATAACACACTAGAATATTCTCCGGAAAACTTCTTTCTGTTGTCTTCATTATCCCGTTTGAGTAATTTTGATAAAAAATTTGGTTGTATTATTGCTTACTCAATGTTTTGCAGATATGTCGAGATTTTCTCCGGTGAAAACAACGTATTTCTACCCAAAACGGCTGTTTTTCCATATGCGGCTGTGTAAACATTTCGGTTTTGCCTGTGCTTTTTTCGCCCGTTTTACATGTTTCACCTTTCTTTATGGATCCTTGTTGGAGAGCACGTTGTATTTTACTTTGTCATTCGTTTACCTACCAAAATATTATCTTTACTCATCCCAGTGCATATTTGGTGAATGCCCTCCCAGAAAGAGGGGAAGAATAAATGGGTACAGATGCAAATGGTCAGATGAAAGTGAAACCGAACACAGAACCTATGGTTGTGTGGGAGGCTTAGTAACACGTGATACTTCCAAACAATCGGTTTTGTGTTTTAAGTACATATGTTATCCAGAATGAGGAGTGTCATGTTTTAGTTGTAGAGCGTAAGGAGAACTTGACACTTGTCTACTTCCGCGGCTCTCAGTTGACACAAATGCTAAAGCACCCTTGTATTAGCACAAAAGATGCCCTCGACATTCACCTACCTTTCTGCAAGCTCAAGTAGTTTTCGAGATCTTTTAGTTCAACTGTGTGTGTGTCTGTGTGTGTGTGTGCGTGTGTGTGTTATCTCATGACCGACGCGGTACGTTTTTCAAAGTCAGCCCGCTGACGGCAATCAGACCCACGAATCCCTTATTATCTCATCCAAAATTTCGCTAGTAAAGTAGCACCAGAACCTGGATGCAACAACAGACAACACAACTTGGTCAGGTGAAGCGAGAGAAACAATCATCATTTCGAGAACAAAAATGAACTCGCCTCCAATAAAAGAATTGCTGAAATCACACTGGATTCAAACATATTGTTAAATAATTGTAAATTTTGTTGAGATCAATGAAATCCCCCGGGGAAAAGTTTGTCAGAGGTATCTCTTAAAAGCACGGCAAAAATTGTGACCACAATTATATCACTAAATCGGGTAGCGGATGATACATTGGAACACGCAAACATGGCAAAAGCTTGAAAGACTGATTGCATCAACTGTGGTTAGATGCTTGATGAGTTCCGTGTTAAATAGAAAAACTGTGTGAAATTCCGGTAGCCATGCAATGTGTACACAAATCTGGCCATAGAAAGCAGTAGCGTATCAGTTAGGGTAAATTCAAGTCAAGTCAAGCTCAAAGTGGCTTTATTCATCCCGTTGAATGGAGTCAGATGACACCATATTACAATCATTATCATTTAAAGCGAATCGATTCACAAACTATAATTGACTCTATGATGTCCATACTAACAAACTCGTCCCTCTTCGCTGCTCCTAACGCAGTACAATCGTTCATGGGGCAAATGCAGATTTAAAAACCGAACATGAACAGGATGGAGTGATATTAATGATGACAGAAGAGAGGTGTATTACGGGAAAGTTTACCAGATTTCGGTTGAATGCGTCTGATGAATACAGGGCAAAAGAAGCCAACCATGTGACCTTGCCGGCAGAGTAGAGTGTCAAGAGGGCCGTGTAGCGAGGACAAACATAAAGACAGCGGGGATCTAACTAGGCAGAGTACAGGGGTATGTGGTAGTGTGCGGCCTTCGAGAGATGCATACTGTGCAAGAGAGGTGAATAAAAGGTGAATACCAACTAGACAACCAAAACAAGTCCCTCTACGGGGTAACAAAGAATACACCACTTAATCTGAGGAGATAGGGAATAACAAGCATTGTAGGGCATTCAAACGCCATTACACTTGTATAGTAGAGCACCGTGGTGCAGAGTAGGGTAGTTGTTACGTGACAGTGATTCACAAGGCTTGGTAACAGTTAAATAACATTTGACCTGGCCATTATCCATTTTATGTCCCGATCGATGTCACTTATAAAAATGCGATTCCCCCTAAAATATACTCTACCCTAATTCCTGTTTCTATCTAACTCAGGATACCAATGAGGAACTCAACGACAATGCATCAGACAAATGGATCGAATCTGCGTCCACTTTGCGTGTACTTTGTATTCAACCGTTTGTTCCCCCACCGAGAGAAGATATTCACCGAATTTTGTATCGTGCAGCTAAATTACCGAAACTGCAACGATTACACTTGTTCCCAGCAGCCTACGCGTTCCCGGCTAGTGGTGATATTCGACAACGAGAACTGCGTTTGGAATGGATTTCGCACAGTCGAAACTATTTGCGACAACGATTGCGCGCGGATGTTGAAGTTTTGTGAGCTGATCGCGGGTACGTGGTCGGTGTATCGATCGTTCGCATTGTGAAGTGTCCTTTGTCACAAAATCCATCACTTTTCTACTCTCGTTTTCTTTTCTTTTTTTCTATGATGCACATTGTTTAACCGCATGATAATTCTTGTGCAACCGGGATGTCAGAGGAGGAGGGGGGTGAACTCGTTACCATCTTTGTCTCTATCTCATGCGCTATGAAACGAAACCATTCATCATTTTTGTTTTCTGGAACCTTTTTCAATTTTTCACTGTCATCCGTTACCAAATGCATTTCAATTCTGCACTATTCTCTTCGGAGTTTTGTGAATAACCAGATTTCTGGTGAGAAGTCTTGTGCTATAATATTGTTTGCAGACCGAACCGGTCTACGATGTGGCGAGAACCTCAAGCAATTTCGGTAGAAAATATGCACACAAACGAGAAACAGGAAATCATCAAATAATTTCAAGCAAGGTTTTCAAGCTATATCTCGAATAACCTTTTCTAATGTTAACTTTAAGTAGGCTAATTCGATAACTCCGTCGGTATCTGTAATGGAACTTGATGTTGGATGAACTCCAAATAAATGAAATTACCGATACTAAATAAAATCTTAATTGAAGGAGCAATAATCGTAACTTGCAATTATTTATTTATTTAACCTAGTACAGCAACAATTGGATGTCACACTCTGTTCAATGCACGCGAGTTGTCCAGATCACTTTCTTACGTTTTTTCTACTCGTAATCAGTAAGTAGTACAATCTCACAGTTTGTCATAAAATCACGACCCTAATCCATCACAATCCCAGCAAGAGTATATCTGACTGCCTAGAACTGTGATTACGATTCCTAAACTAAAGAAGCTCTCCACATCCGCACTGTTTCCTTTCTGAATGAATGCGAAGCAATAGCAAATTTGTTGTCTGGCAATCGGCTTGTATCGAAAGCAAATTGACTCTCAGTCTGCTTAATGGGAGTCGGCCCTTTATGATAAGCGGCAATTTACAACGAAGCATATTTCAGTGTCAGTTGGTGATTCGCTTTTATCCTCATCAGCTTTAAACGGCAATCTATCTTTTGCGGTTCAGAACGCACATTAAGAAAATTATTGAACCAATTTGATCTGAATGTTCGATGCCCGGTAAAGATTCTTCCGTGGGCAGACCACCATAGAAAGGTGCTTCTCTAATGGATGATGCATAGGCGTTGGTGGCGTAGAACACAATGGGGTAATGTCACGTGAAGCCATGAAGCAGCTGCAAAACAGTTAATCTGAAGAGAGAAGGAGAATAACTAANCCAAAAGGAAGAGTGTATCGATATTGCGAGGTGGACGGAATATTCAAGAGTGAGAAGCTATTTTTTCTGTTGATAAGAGTAAGCCGGTTTTTATGAACGCAACAACGACCGGTTTAAAATATCCAAAGATATTGAATATATGGTTTGATCAAGGGCTAACCTTTGTTTTCCGGAACATCACCGTTGTCACTTTACTTTATCGCTCCTCACAGCATTACCCCATTGTGCTGCGGCATCAGTGAATTTCTCGTCAGAATAGCACCTATAGATACGACCAGTGATAATCCTGGGAATCTTCACCATCCACCGCAAATTGAGACCCAACTTTTTCAGCACTCGTCTCTGTGAACGTTTGGAACCGGAAAGGAAGACTCCTATTCTAAAAGCTAACAAGTGACTTCTCCTCAAACCTTGAAATAGTCTCCTTCCACCAATGAGAGAAGACTGATAACTATCAAAGATACGGTGAAGGGTAATTGAGTATTGTTCCAACATATTCAAATCGCCAAAATATACCTCGTTCTATTATGAAAACCGTGCGCATATTTGGAGGTAATTAGTGTTGGACTTTTGCCTGAATTTCTCAACTGAACGGAGGTTCCCACTTCGTTGACTAACAGTAATATAGCAAGGCTACGGTGCTTTTCAGGTAGCGCCGATGTAGGTGTGCGTTGTTTGAAGCGTAAATTCACTGAAGAGGTTCAAATAGGGAAATAAGCTTCGTGATTACAATTCAATTTAGGAGATAGGGTTCGCGTTTTCGCTTGAACAGAGACACGATCTCATGTAACTCATAGGGCAGTTTCTACTTCGGCTACGCCTGTCCACTCTTCGCCATCATCGTCTTTTTACTGAATTTCATATTTCTAAGTTCCTCTTATTCGCATGTACGCCAAAGCCAAAGCGATAACTTGTTTTCACTGAAATTTCTGTTTACAAAGGATGAATAAAGTGTGTTCTTGACGTGACTTGGTAAGCACCGGGTGTCAACAATCGGAGTTGCGCCTTATTTCACCGTCAAAAGTGAATGAGTGTTTTGTTTTTATTTTACCGCAAGCGCCTAGTTTCGGGAATTTCGGAGAGACCTCGACGATTTTTAGAAATTTTGGTTGTATGAAGAAACTGAGCAGTCTACAACCCCAGTTTCTTTTCCTTTTCCCTTTACATCCTTTGCTTACGAAGTGTGTACGGGGTCGACGAAAAATAATCTATAATGACTGATCTAAGTTCTTGCATGACCTCAACCTGTTGTCGTGACAACAGATGCGTAACCGACAGCAGTAACTGGTATACAATTTGCGGATGTATGGTATTCTCACATCCACGATCCCAAATCATTTCAAAGACAGCCGTTAAGCACTGTATGCTTTTCTCTAACTGACAGTTCAGTGCAAAGCAATATCCGACATAACTTTCCTGTGTTGGGCTCAAGTGAGTTATTTCAGTTCAGAAACTACACGAGTAGGTTGTGCTTTACGGAGTTCCATAGAAACTCATTCGGTAGACCGCTTCACATCAAGTGTTTGAACTTCATTTGATAAGTGAAGGTCAGATCGGTTGGGGAAACAGTAATTGCTGCTGGTACCAGTTTGAATTCAAGAGAGAGTTTTGCCATCCCACAGGTCTTTGGAAAGCAGAGAATCGGCCGTTACTTTAGTCGTTCAGCTTCCATGTGGGGAGTTTAGTTTCGGCTCATTTATTTGAACAGTAATCGATTCATAACAGTTAACACTGAAAGAGAATGTTTACGGGGCAAAATCAGAACTTCTGCGGTCCACTTTGAACCAAATTGAAGGGTTACGGATTTCGGGGATGAGATCGAATCCAGAACGAATGGAGCTAATTACGGTGGTCCAGTGCAATCTGAACTGCAATACATCAATTAACTGATCACTTGGTGGAGAGGTCGGCTAACCATAGTTTTCAAATGGAAATTACCGTGGACCTGGTAATTGAAACGGAATTCAGTTGAGTCTACCAGTACATGAAGGAAAAACTTTGTCTTTAACAACGAACATTATGGATGTTGTTCACCAAACGCCGGGCTATTTATTTGGATAATGACGGGTGAATCTGAAGATTGTTGATATCCTCATGAATAATGCATTCCATTCCTATGCACCTCGGATGCGTGACTTTGTGCTGCACACCTACAAATGAAATGTAAGCATATATGTTTACACAAGTTATTCAAATACAAATACACATACTACTTATGCCTTTCCAACTTTGACTTATTTGTCATCGTAGTGGACATATTGGAAGAAGAAGAATGGTAGAGTAGCCCTCATTTTCCGGAATAAGTGACACAGAAAGTATGTACGAGGACACCACTCGTGCAACTATTAAGCCCCTGAAGAAAGTATCAGATTCCAGGGGGCAGGATTGCACAAAAAGATGTGCAACTCCACGCAAGGAGGTTGGTGTAGAGGCCAAAAAGCGTGCGTTCTCCTCGAGTCCTCCGCCGAAGATAAATTCAAAATATAGAAACGACAGGGGAGTATAACACTGCTGTATAAAAACACTTGTAGTATCAGAAACAAGTGGGCCGAGGTTCTGATGACAGCGGAGACCCATAAGGCTACCACGGAGGCCATGACATAAACCTGGCTCTCAGAGAGTGATCCCAGTCCCAGCATTCTTCAAGATAACTGTTTACTGCATAACGGATAGGGGTAGATCCGTACAAGGAGGGAAAGTATCCCTGCCACTAAGACCCCACTTGTTCGCAGGAGAATCGAATACCAAGGTTTCTACTCTTAATGTGCAGCTAGTTGCAGTGGACCTAATTAGAAATAGCAGAAAAATATCCATTGCTTGCGTATATAACGGTTCTAGTGTCATACAACAGGAGGACCAAGGAACTATACAGGCACTAGACAACCTATCTCGAAATCCGACCAGACTGGTCGTTACAGGCGACTCCAACCTTAGGTATGTTGATTGGGAGCTTCGAATGTGTCCTCGAGGTTCAGGTAAAAGCTACCTCGAATGGATTCACACTTGATCCCTGTTTTCAGCACGTGAATGAGAACGCTAGGTATCGGGAAGGCCAGTAGCCTTTGCTGCTGCACCTGATCATTACAGTGCAGGAGGAAGAAGGACAAAGTCTAGAGTATCTCCCTCATATCGGTAAAAGTGGTCATCTTTTCATCAAGGTGACACTTCGGTTGAAGCGACCCAGACCCTGTGAGGGGAATGTAGGAACTTCGGGATGATGGACGTGAATGTACTTCGAGCTCAGCTGCGTTGGTACAGTTTGAAACAGCACGCTGACGTGGAGGAACGCTGGAGTATAACAAGAAACCGCCTGGTCAACCTCCAAGATGAGTTTGCTCCCTTAACACACAGAGGTTTAAGGAAGAAACCGCCATAGTGGCACGCTGCTGTAGGTAGAGCTATTAAACGCAGAAATCGATGCTGGAAAACTTTTTGAACTTTGTATTCTCAGATGGCTTGGAGACAGTACATGAGGCATCATAACGAAACATTTTTGCTCATTAGAAAGGGTAATAGGGACTATAAGGTGAAACTGGTCAGTCGAGCCAAAACGCTACTACTGCTACTCTCAAGCCAAAGACCCCAATAAAAGGTTTTTGGGACATCTACAGTTGGAAGGTACGACCGTCATTGAGAACCAAGATAATGTGGACGTCTTTTGCACATACTTCAGTAGTTTGCACAGAGTAGATCGCTGCGACCTGGCAC